AAAAGTAAATCAGAGCTAAAAAAGTGTAAAAACGCAGGCAAATTTGCCTGTGTTCTACTACAATCTAAGGGATAAGTAAATTCTTGATCATCTTGATCTGTAATCCAATTTTCTTCCGGGTCCTCAAGTCTAGAACTATAATCATCCGTATTTTGATCTATAATCATAGTTTCTTTAGGATATTCAGATCCAGAATAATCATCCATATTTTGATTAGTAATCAAAGTTACATTCAGATCTTCAAGTCTTGAATAATAACTATCTATAGCTAATAGGAATTGATTACAGAAATTGATTTATTAAAAGAGTTTTGATAGTAAGTATTTGTAATTAATAATTTCAGATTGGTACGATTTCGGACAGAAGTCCAAAGGTGTCTTATTTATAATGAATTTGACTAACTACTATGACAAATACTTTAGAAACATGTTTTAAAAAAGTGGTTTAAACATGATTGAGAAAAATGTTTTAGAAGAGTTTTCAGAGATCAAGAAAGAAGACTTTCGAAAAGGCATTCTCAGAGTGAAGACATGCATAACAAGAGTGTTTCAGAAAATGCGGTTTATATGTTTCAGACAAATTTACATATTTAAAGATTATTATATTGTAGATTTATGTTACGAGCAAGTTTTAACTATTTGAAATTGATTTTTTTTTACAGAAAATACGGGTGAATCATATTGAGAAATAAACTATAGTACCAAGAATTTTCGCTACATGCATTTTATTAAAATAATATATAGGTTTTTTAAAAAATTTTAATTTACAATATTTTTACAATACATATTATTATAACTAAACTCTTTCACTAATCATCGTTTTATTAATTTTATTAATAGTGATTTATTAATATACAGTTCTAATATAATACATGATTATAATAAAAATCTGATATGTTTGATATTATAGTAAGATCTCCATAAGTATACCCTCTATAAGTGTACACCCTCTCTAAATGCATATTCAAGTTCTGGCCCAATAATATACATGCCCCTATAAATGCACTTTCTCTTATCGATCTCTAAGTGCATATTAATAAAGCTTGGTCCCAAGTGCATGTACTTGTAGAGGTTTTACTGTATTGTAAAAAGTGCAAATGATATCTTGATAAGATTGTAAAAATTTTTAATATATTCAAGTCTTTTATTAACTTCAACGATTTAATAAAAAAGAAAAAAAAAACCTCTTTATATCATTAATTGTAATCCATAATATATTTCCTAAAGTTGTAACTAACATATAAAGCTAGAACTGACTGGTAAAAGCAAAAATATTATTCGAAATTACATAAGCTGTGTTTAAAAATAAATAAATAAATTAATAAATCATATTTGTGAATAAATAACAAATATGAACATATCTTAAAATAAAAGTATGTTCCTGAGATGATTTCGAAGAGCTTAATCCCAAGATCATAGTTATGATGGCACTAATAAGTTAATAAACGTATTTGTGAGTAAAATGAACAAACACAAAATATTTTAAAGATCAAAAGCATGATTTAGAGCAAGACCGAATACAATCCTGAAAAGCTTAATCTCTAAAATTATAGTAATGACAGTGCTAACGTCCTGTTAGCTTGATTTTAGAAGTCTTTCCGAAACTAAATCGCAAAAAAAATTACTATTTCACGACTTGTTCAGTAAGTAGTACAAAGATTCGTGGTTTTTACTATAGTTAGGCTTGGAGGCAATAGTGAACTTCGAGTCTGACATCCTTTTCTATTTGCATATCTAATACTTCCCAAAATTTTTGTTGTTAATAGATTGAACCCCGTAGAATACCGTTATTTAGAGAATTTTCTTGATATCGATTGACGGTCACATGATTCAATTAAGAGCGAATAAAATTTTTTTAAAAATTTCATAGTAAATTTCCAAAATGTGATCTACATTTTTACTATGATTGGACACTCATAT